GTGGTGGCGTTTGAAGGCGTAAGACATGCATGCAGCGCAGACAGTCTCGATTCTGTAGGTAGTTTATAATATAAAATACTACTACTGAAATGGTTAAGGTATTTTAGAATGACCAATCTTTTAACAATCACATGACCTTTTTTAATGCACAGACTGAAATTTGTTTGGTAAAAGTGTTTCCATCGTAGTTTATGTGCATTTTTTCTTATCGTATAAAAAGTTTGTCCTACTCAGTTATATGTCTTTTATGCACATGTCTTTTATGCGCATTTTCAAAATATGTGCGCATCCTGGTGTTTTCATCCACCGATTTTTTAAATTTTTTTATGCACATATCCAAAATACACATAAAAATAGGTGGATGGAAAAAGCTATTGACACTCTAGATCTGTTATGCATTAGATCTTACATCATGATTAAGTCGGTCCATAGCATAATCATCTGATTGAAAAATTATACTATGACTGAGTTGCACAATTTTTTATTTTTTAGCTCAGGTTGTAAGGTAAGAAGCAGAGCAGAAAGTTTCAGTTTAGCATTTGCTGTATGATGAAATTAAATAGAATTTATTACAAAAAATATTTTAAAAAATAAAATGACAATGGAAGTAGAGCTAGTGGGCGAGTAATATAACATACAAAAACAATTAAAATGTTGGATTGTTATTATTTAGGAATTTTTTTGCTTTTTCAAAATGTGTTAAAGATACCTTAATATCTATTATTGTTCTACATTTTAGCAAACTCAACATTGGTATTTTCATTTTTTAAAGTACTGTACCCATTTGATTAATTTCCAGAGATACAGTAATGTAAGTGGGGCTCCATTAGTATGCTGTAATTAATTAAAACCAAATAGGTTACTTTACATATACCTGATACATTTTTGCTTTTAAAGAGGAATGTCTTGTTGTCACCAATAGCTTTGTGGGCAGTGTGCTGATATGTAGTGGTGTTACGCTTTCTGAGTTACAGGTGGGTGGCACGGTGGCTCAGTGCGTAGCGATGTTTTCGCTGTATCATGCATGACCAAAAAAAACCACTGTATCATGCATGCCAGCCCAGTTTTTGACAACTCTGTGCACAGCTCTTATAGTGAGCGTCTGTTCTTCCCATGGTCAAATAATCACACATGACTGTAGATTGCACACATAATATGCATGCACACTGTCATTGATTTTCAGTGGTTTTGTTTTAAGTTTTTTTGATGGGTACACTGTTTTCTTTTCCAAAAATACTGGTAAAATGTACTTTGACACCTGTTTTGAACAGTTGAAATAAATAATAAATGAATAGCCCAAATGCATAAAATGTTCTCTGTTCTTAGTTGAAAGTGTTGTTTTTTAAATACCCCAATGAAATGTAATGAAAATGTATTTTCTTGCCATCTATAAAATAAACAAAACATTTTGTATAGAAGAATTGACCTGGGGACCAAAAAAAATATATTTTTTGCATAAATGGTTGCGAGCTTAAGATGTTTTAATCATATTTCATAACCCTTTGTGATTCAGATGTTTTATTATCTTTAAATTAGGCAATGCATTATTTTTACAGTTATCTTGGCCATGACTCCCCTGGTAGAAGAGAAAAATTCTGGAAAAATAAAGGATAAATGAATCAAATAAATTTGATAGTTTTATCCATTTTAATGAAAGGAAACCAAATTAAGGTCCCTTATCGTGTACCTATGTCTTATTCTATATGAAGATGAATATGATTTTTTTATTTATATATATAGAAATGTAAAAGAAACAATTTTCTAAACAAAAGTTTTTTTGAAATTTTTATAAAACATTTGATGGATATGTTGATTCTTACAATCTTTTAAAATGACTTTTAATCATGATGAACCTAGCTCTTTATAACTGTCAGAATTTGCTCAGAATACTGTATATAGTGCACATTGTAAGTTGTGCAAAGCAGCAGGGTTGATTTGAACACAGTCATTTTAATCAGTGTGTTACTGGGTAAGGTTGGAATTTGCTAAGCACTTGACGTAATGTTGCTTTTATAAACCACCCAAAAATAGACTATATACTCCTAAGAAGCCTACATCCTTGAAATCTTTTTTTTTTCCCCGGGCATAATAATACAAAAAAAAAAAAAAAAAAGCTTTGTTGCAGACTTATTAAAACGGATAGAGCAGTGTAGCATGGATAGATTCAGAAAATAATAACTCAACAGATACTCAGTGAGCTGTTCTGACAGAATTTTAATTGTCTGAGTGAGAGAATGTTGGTCAAAGAACATAAAACACACTCACTGTGATCCTTACCTGAGATATCTGATGTATGTGGATCGGCATTGCATTTTCACAGCATGGGGAATGAGCTTAATAAGGCTAATTAAACACAGCTAGATGCTGTTGTACTTTAATTATATTACCAGTAGTAAGTGTTTGTTTTTGTAGATTAGGTGAGGTGTAGAGCTGAATCTCAGCGGTAGAAATGAGCTCGACATAAACAGTTGATGCTAATCCTTGATGCTTATTCTTGTTGAATAACTTTGGCTAAAATAAACACAGTATAGTTGTATAGAAAAAAATCTATGTTATAATTATATATACAGTATTGTGCAAAGTCCTAAGCACTATACCAGCTTTGCTGACCTTTTGCACGATATGTCATCAATCAGTCAATTTTTTTTTAAATGAACAAAAAATATAGGAATATGTACTAAAACAATATCAGCACAACATTTCCTCTTCAAGCAAAAGTCTGTGTTTAATGTGGCTTCCTTTGGCAGCAAGCACAGCTTGAACTGTTTTTTCTATTGCCCTGACCTTTTCTGAAATAATGTAATTTATGTAGCACTTTTCAGAGTTCTTCCTTAGGTTTAGAGTGTCTTATCTTTCTTTTTCTGTCCAGGTGATCTCATACAACCTCTATAATATTCAGGTCTGAACCCGGCGGAGGCCATTTCATGACAGTCAGTGTTTCATCAGCTGTTTTCTTTCTATAAATAGAATTTCACTGCTATTACTAGATCATTATCTAGCTGTAAATGAAAACTGTTACCACTGAAGTCCTTTCCAAAAGGAATGGCATAATGGATTAATGCCTTTCTGTACTTTTCAACAGTCACAAGTCCATCAGTTCAGACAATATTGCTAACAACATTGATAGATATGCAGCTCAAATCAGGACTAACTCTCTCCAACATTGCCCTTCAGGTGTCTTGATTAAAACAAAACAATTTAAACTCATAACCTAACAAACCATAAATCAACTAAAAGATAATTTATTCAACCTCTAAATCTCAATTTTCTTTGTGGTAAAATGTCACATATATTCATTCTACCATCAGTAAAACAACAGATTTAATGTTGGCCTAAAACTTTTGCATATAACAACAGTATATATATAGCCTATAGGACAAGAAATTAAACCAATTTTGCATTGACATGAGTAAATGATGACAGAAATGTCATTTTCGGAGGAGCAATCCTATTTAATGCTGTAAATCGTTCACATTTCCAGTTAAATGTGTGGTAGTGAGATGAACTCTACAGTATCTGTAAAAGTTACACACATAATGTAATGTACAATAGGAATATGAGTCATTTCTGTGAAATAGCAGTCAAAAGTTAGAGCGTCTGAGCAGGGTTCCTATAAATTCCTATAAAGAGAGAGTGAGGGAAGTTTTTGGACAGACTAATGGACCACTTTGCCATCACCCCTTCATTTGAAGCGTAAACTTGTCAGAGCTGTCAGTGCAATGGACTGATCATAGTGTTTGTCAGCAGACCCTGACAGTGACATATTTTCCCACATCTGTTATTTCCCTCTTCTTGGAATTCAGTCATAGTAAAGGTCACACAGACTACAGAGACACAGTCAGTTAACATGGTAAAATACCTTGAGAGCCTCAGTTTACTGGCCAATAAAGAGATTTTATAATTCTCTCTCTCTCTATCTATCTATCTATCTATCTATCTATCTATCTATCTATCTATCTATCTATCTATCTATCTATCTATCTATCTATCTATCTATCTATCTATCTATCTATCTATCTATCTATCTATCTATCTATATGCCTGTCTGTCTATCCATCTTTCTATGCCATCATCCATCTTTCTTTATAAAATTATTTGTCCATTCATCCATCTATCTGTCTGTCCATTTTTCTGTACTTTCACCCAACTTTCTGTTTGTATTTCCACTAGAAACACCAGAGAGATAAATATTGACAAAATATTATTTAACAAAACATAAGATTTCTTTGGAGGCCCCGTCTGTAGCTTGAATCAGAAGCTTGTAAGTTCAGTTATGTATGCACATGTTGAAGGCAGGTGCAGAGCCTACAAACCTGGACAAGGTCAACCTGTATGGTGGGTGGATGAATGTCTGTGTCAGTATATGAATGAATGAACGAACAAATGAACGAATGAATGAATGAATGAATGAATGAATGAATGAATGAATGAATGAATGAATGAATGAATGAAATCTATACATTCATCAGTCTATCTGATTACATTTGTTCTTTTTTCTGTCCGTCCATCCATCCATCCATCCATCCATCCATCCATCCATCCATCCATCCATCCATCCATCCATCCATCCATCCATCCATCCATCCATCCATCCATCCATCCATCTATCTATCTATCTATCTATCTTACTGTTTGTCCGTCTGATTCTAATAGCATTTACAGATTTTTTTTCTGGACTTTCATTTCTCCAGCCCCATGCACTCTAAAAAATGCTGGGTTGAAAACAACCCAATTTGGGTTATTTTGTAACCCAGCGCTGGGTCAAAAAGGGACAAACCCAACGCTGGGTTAATTTGACCCAGCAGGTTGGGTTACACGTCTAACCCAGCATGCTGGGTTGTGATTTTAACCCAACTATTGGTTAAAAATAACTACACTGCTGGGTTGAAAGTAACCCAAAATGGGTAGGAAATTTAATCTAGAAACTTTAGTGATTAAAATTACTAAAATAAAAACAATTCACAGTGATACATACTTCAGAAATAGAATTTTATTTGACAAAACATGTAAAAATGTGTCCATCTGTATTTAAAACATATTCACCTTAGCATTAAAATTTTTTTTAAGAAAATGTATCAAACTGCTTAACAAAAACACTGACTTAAGTCAGACAAATAACTTAAGAAAAAGAAAGATTTGAAATATAAAAACTTTTCATAACATTTGCATCAATCATCTGTAAGAATTAATTGCAATGTAAGTGCAGAGTAGAGGAAAAATAAATGCAGAATAATGAAAAAAAACATCTTGACAGAAGATTCACTGAAAAATACAAATGTGTACACAAACATCTACATATCCTAACATATATAAATCATCAACTTTAATGTAGAAAGAACGTAATGTAGAATTAATAATAATAAAAAGGCACCAAAGGAAAAAAAAAAGTTTAGGTTAGGAAAAAAGAAAACAATTTAAAATAGAAAATTTTAAATAGGTAAATATTTCATAACTTTTACAATCATGTGCAAACATCCGTAAAAAAAGTTGCAATCTAACTGCATTGTAGAGGAAAAATATTTAGAATAATGAAAGTGCATAAAACTGACTGAAGTCAAACTTACTTCTAAGAAAAAACATTTAAAGTATGGAACCATTTCATAACGTGCACAAACATTTATATGCATCACATTAACATACCATGTGACAAAAAATGTCACAATAGGTCATCAATACAATTAATCGCAGTACGATTCAAGTAACTGAAGTAATGTAACTGATAGAAGTAGAAGAAACAGAGTAGACTGTAGAAGTAACAGAGTACAAGTTGAAGTACACAAAAACCAAGGAAGCGGTAAGGTTACAGTATTATTACTGTTTTTCAGCAAAAATGAATGCTCGCAGAACTCTTACTGCCGGTGTCTCCTCCCCAGGAAGTCCATACACCACAGTCTGTAGAAACTGCCACACCAGGGAACACTGCTTGGGGTAGTTCACGTCAAAAATGTAAAATGCTTTAAAGCAAATGTCCACTGCAGCAAGTAATGTGCTTTGCTCAAGTGCTGTGCCATTTATTATAGCAAAGGCTTGAAAGTTGTGGTTGTCTCCAAGCATGAGCACGTAAGGAGATTCAATGGACTCTTTTGAACGAAGGTACTCAGCCATATTGGTCCCAATCTGAAAAATAAATAAATAAATAAATAATGGTATAGATTCATTAAAAACTTAAAAATGTTAAAGTTAAACCAACTAAAAGTTCAGCTAACACACTGCAAAAAAGTTTCTTAAATTTTTCGCCTTTCTAGTCATAATATTTAAAAATTCTAAAATCAAAAAGAATTTTCTAGACAAGCAAACATGATGTCTCATTTAAAGCAATAATATGCCAAAATTAAGAGAAATTTTCCCTAAAAACAAGCAAAATAATCTGCCAAAGGGGTAAACAAAATAATACTGTCATAAGGAAAAACAAGATTATTTTGCTTACCTCATTGACAGATTATTTTATCATTTATTATTATATTTATCATTATTTCTTAAAACAAGACAGTATGTTTTGCTTGTCTAGAAAATTATTCTTGATTTTAGAATTTTTATATATTTGGACAAGAAAGAAGATGAAAAATCTAAGTAAGAAAAGCATTTTTTGCATTGTGTTGGCATTAGGGCACGACTTTTTGGCCTGGGTGCAGATGACTCAATGCAAAAACACAGTTCTTTTACGATGTTACTTTTATTTTTTAATATAATGTCAGCTTAATGTAACATCAAATTCTGTCTTTATTTACTCAACCCTTTGTCAATACAAACTCCAATTTGTAATAAAAGCTAAGAATTTTCTGTACATATCCCTGTCTACGCAACTACCACTTAGGTTAACGAAATGAACATCCATTTAAATTTTTGTTCAGATATTCTAAAGAGACTTTATTGCTTTATATGATCAACAAACTAAAATGTAGGCTTTTAATTACATACAGCTGTGATCAGAGAACAAGCAGAAGCACAAGCATGCTTTTTGTCTCACAAAGCAGTCAAGGACACATGCTTGAGATTCTGTTTAAAGTTAATGTTTATTTTAAAAAGCTATTGTGTCTCTTCAGAAAATGTTGTTTATACTTAACTGCTCAATTAATATGGATTATTTTTTACAGACACTTTATAATTTTTTTGAAGCTTTAAAGTAGACTTGCTGCAATAGTCGGTGATGTCAGTGTTCAAGGAGAAGTCCACGCCCAGAGCAAAATGCTCATGCCTTTCTTTGTTCAGTTGTAAAAAAAAGTTTTTTGAGAAAATCATTTTAAGATATAGATATGGTGTACCGATTTTGAATTACCAAAATGCAATTTAAATGTGGCTTTAAACATTCCCAAATGCGGTTGTAACTGATCCCAGCAGAGAAAGAAGGGTCTCATCTAGTTAAACTATCATTATTTTCATAAAAAAAAAAAAAACTTTTTATGAAACAAACTGATCATTTTGATAGAGAAGACTCTTTCTACTCAGCTGGGATCATTAACAACCACATTAGGGATCATTTGAAGCTGTATTTCAACTACATTTCTGAAGTTTAAACTAAACAAAAAAAAAAAAATTCTGACTGAAGAAAGAAATACATTAACATTCAAGATGACATAACCTGCAAATCTTTGTTCTGGAAACTGAAAAGTTGACTTCTCCTTTAAGACTGACATTAAGGAGAGCAAGAGGATAATGGAGGAACCAGTAATCATACTGGGTAGAAGAGCACAATCAGCACACCTCTTGAAAGAAGAGGGAGACAAAAATGAAAAGGAAGCTGGCACTGAGCCACAGCCCTCCATTATTACCGGTGTTGTGACACATCAATAAACCAGTGAAAAAAATTGCGTCAAACCTACTTCAAAGTGCTACTGACACTATCAATAAAGGGACAAAAATCTCTCAAATTTTTAAAATAATGTAAAAAAAACATTAATTTGTCATTTAACAATAAATACATACAATGGGTCCTTTTCACATTAACAAGAATCTCAGACGTGGAAGTCATCATCATTTTGAAAACTTTATAGGGTTAATTGGGAGATAACGAAAAATATAATTTTTGTATTTGGTCTAATGACAAAAGTAAAAAAAAAAATCTAATCAAACCAAATTAGTTTCCAAGACTTTACCAAATAAGGAAGAATAAATCATTATTCTCTTTCAATTCCAGTTTTTTAATAAACATCCTCGCTGCAGTGTTAATTACAGTTATTATAATTTCTCTATGAAAAGGGCCCATACAACGTATTATAAATGCTTTACATCATGTAGTTTTAGCAGTAGCTGTTAACTTACAGGCTGTATGTCAATGAAGGCTTTCCTGGTTTCTAGGAAAGTGGGTTTGAACGTTTTTCTTCCAATTTTGTACACATGCGTTGGAAGGATTACAGGAAGGAGTTGCATGGCGATGTCACTCTGTCTCTCTTTAAAATAAAAAACACCCAAAGTACAAAAAATGTAAATTAACTGCAACAAAAGGTGACTGAAATAAATCTACATACAGTATATTACATTAGTTTCTAAAATTAAGAAATACTTAACTATTAAGAAATACTACACTAAAAATGATAATGAAAATTGTCAATACTAACAGTCATTTTTATATTAAGGGGCAATATTCACAATCTATCCTTTTTGGGATTGATGGGGAAGTAACTAATTTCATAAACAGTTTGCTGAATGCCTATTACCTGCTGACATTGTTTCTATGTCGTGAAGTAGATTAAGAGCTTGTTTTTGTTTGCTGGCAACCTGAAGAATCTTATCCTTAAACACTGGTACCCAATTTTCTGTGAGTTTCGAAGCACAGTCTGGATTCAAAATTAAAAAATCCTGGGATATCTAAAAAGCAGAAAACAAAGACAAACATGGCAAAAGTTGTAAAACAAAATGAAACGTACTTAGCCAATGAATTTAGTTAAAAAATTTTCCCACCATGCCTGGAGTGTCGAGAAGACGTGGATACTCTTTGGCTATTTCCATTATCGTTTTGGATCCATCGTCACGAATCCATTTTGCCCTTTGAATCGCTGTTTCTTTCATGTACTGCTCGACCTGACTTGCTGGCCAGATATTATTTCTGAGCCACTCTATCATTTGAGTTGCTCTTTCCGAGTCCACATTCGAATCTGTTGTGAGAAGAACCATACATCACAAACATACAGCAATTAATGTTGGCAAATAGAGATCATATTCATATCAAACAGTTAGGTCTTTTAAATGGGTCAAAATTTTAAATGATACCCAACCCTACACATATGTACCCACATACCAGGAAAAGTAAAATTACTGCCGTCTCTTGGGTTGTCTGAACAAACTGGCTTTTGTCTTCCTCTTCTAATCTTTTTGCGCACATTCCGAAGACGCTCTTCAAGGAAGCCTGTGGCAGGTCTGTGAAATCTACCTGGACTGAACCATGCCTCCTTGTGTTAAAAAAAATACAAAAACAGAATTAGAAATTCACACTGGACCAATTTACCCAGAGTTCCAGAACTAAGGTAACAGTGACATTAGTTGTGTTGAAGTACATAAATGCACAAATAGAAAAACCCTCAAACAGCCCATAAAATCGGGCTCCATAAAGTCTGAAATGGTTGAAGGACATTACAAATTAAAGCACCCTGTTATTATTGTTTGTAATGTGCTTTTTGATTTTCTTTATTATTTACTTCTTGCATGACTTAAGTACTTATTATTTTCCATTTAAATTTTAATTTGTAATTATTGTTAACAAGTATGTACTTGTAACATGGTAGTTAAATAAGAAAATACAGAGAAATGTAAGATTCTTAATCAGATTTGTAATAAGTAATCAGATTGTGAGATACAGAAAAAAATAATAATCTGTCTTTGACACTGTACTCACATAGCCTTTACCCTGGCAATCCTTAAGGCATGGAAATTGTTCGACTATTGACGAAGCCAAGGTGACTTTTGTTGCTCCACTTGGACTAAAAGAAACAATATTCTGATTTTTTTAAAAGATACTACATATGTACACATTTAATTTCTCAAACAATATTTTTAGCATTAAATACATTACTTAAATTTGTACTTACTTTTCTCCAAAGCGCTCAATTAGATGTGAAACCAAGATACGAACCATCGATTGTCTTTCTTTAAGCGAAATGCAGTTGCTTTTTTCAATGGCATCCACAATACTGCTGCCACAGGATGTTGCTGTAAGGATGTCTCTTACATTCTAAAAAAAAAAACATTTAAAAATAAATATAAAATTAAATGTGTTTGATAAATGTTGATTCGTCCTGAAATAAAGTGAAACGGCTATACGTCGTGTTTGCTGGCCTCACACATCTGTCAGCCACTCAGTCAGCACGTCACCTTAAAGGGTAAACAAATGTTGCACAGCTCTACTATGGTTACAAAAGGTTCACAGTGTTATAATTCACTTACCCTTTAATACGTTTTAGTGTAAATATTACCTGCTATTAAAAAAATAAAATGTTTTGAGTAAGAAGCTATAATATGTAGCCGTGGCGGGATGAATTGTGGCGTGGCGCCCCGCCATGGAACAATGTATGTAGCAGAAATCATGGCATGTAAATATATATATATATATATATATATATATATATATATATATATGTGTGTGTGTGTGTGTGTGTGTGTGTGTGTGTGTATATATATATATATATATATATATACACACACACACAAGGTTTCCGCTACATTCATTCTTACATGGTGGGGCGCCACACCAAAATTCATCCCACCATGGCTACATCACAGCTTCTCACTCAAAACATTTTATTTTTTTAATAGCTGGTAATAATCGCACCAAAACACATTAAAGGGTAAGTGAATTATAATAGCGTGAACCTACTGTTGCGTGAGGCCAGCAAACATGACGTATATTCGTTTCACTTTACTTCAGGAAGCATTAATGCTACTCTGTAGGTCTATTGGAGACATTCATAAATATTTCTAGCAAATTTAATAAATGTTAGTGACACACTCTTACATAAACGCACTAAAATCACACTCAGCACCATTTGTTTGAGAGCGCACAAGACCTGCGCGCTCTTGAAGCGGCTTATATTTGAGGGGGCATACAGAAGTTTTGTGCACGAGCAGAGGAAATTGACACGCAAGCAGAGATTCGCATGCTCGTAGGCTATTACATAAATGCGATCCCGACTTATAATACTGCGCTTACGACACCTGTCATTGAAATAACTCCATAGGTAGTGGGTAGATCTGTGTAATAAAAAAAGGCTTGTTGCCACAGCTGGAAAAAATCCTAGAGGAAACACTGTATACACACACACACACACACACACACATATATGGTTTATCAGACTGGAACCTTACAAATGCTGCTGCATGCTCCACCGTTCTTCTGTGCTGCTCAGGACCCTGCTGCTGCTCCCTTAGTACTGTTACTGTAGTTGCAGGCTCTTTGATTGATTCCTTTAATAAATAAAAATGAATAGCAATTCACATGTCTGTATTGCATTTTTACTATAGGTTTACCTTGCCAAATATATTGTGTCAGCAACAATACAGTGATGCTTGTATCCACGATTGTTACATGCCAGAATGTGCAAGGTTAATGTAGATTAACATTAACATCATAGAAGACAAGTCTGGTATAATGGATAGAGGAACGTACAAATTATGTCCAGAATTTCAGTTTAAAACACCAATCACTATGAAAGAAAGAAAATGACGTGCATATGAATTTCCTTGGATATGTATTTTTAAACACTTGTAGATTTAAATTTATAAAACAGCATTTCCATATGAAAGGTACTCAAGTAAGGTATTTTTTCATATTGCAGCTTGTATTGAAGATAAGCAAAATGCAATGTAAATTTTTTTTGATGTCATGCAGCCATAAGTGTCATCACATAAATTATTTATAATGGCATTGCTGATCAACTTCACACTTGATTAACATGACATTTCAATTTAACTAAGCCATTCATTAAAACTTACATGTATTGCGATGTCCCCATGATGACTTTGATGAAATTTGTTGATATTTGTATAAATGTTCAAACGTGCATGATAGTTTTTAGTATTAGGTGTACACAATCATGGGCTAATGTTGTTTTTGATCACCCTGCTACCATAACCCCATCCACCCACCCAACACCAAAAACCCATCTTCAACAACGCCCTCCCGCCCCCTCCTAGAATAGCCTGTATCGCAGCGAAATGTAACGGTGGTTCTCATCGTCCTGTAAGGACATTACAACATGAAGGGGGTGATGATCTTCAACAGTGTGAATGTCCACCGAATCAAGCACAGAAGAAGGAGACACAGAGAAGGCAAAATAATGCCTGTCAAATCCAACTGTGTCCCATTTTTTCACAACGAATTTGACCTTGGAGTCAAAGAGCACAACATTCCTAATGGTTGCAAACTGGGGCTCACCATCAGCAGAGTGAGATACAAAAAGTGTCATTCCTGGCCTATAGGTTGCTCCCTTGTACTTAATCCAAGATGGTAAATAGACTTCTGAGAACAAAGGGATTCCCTCAAATCCATGTTTCACTTTTTCAAAATCGTCTATAGATGCCAGGAGTGTGGTGTATCCTGGACCAACTTCAAAGTCATGTGAGAACATTTTCTCAGACATCAGGGTGTAGCACAACATCATCTGATGTCGGAAAGCCTGTGTTTTACAAATGTTCCGAAAATTGCAGGTTACATGACTTAGTCTTTTGAAAAATCCATGTTTTGCCTCAAAACGCATGGACCAGAAATGAACCAACGGTCCAAGTTTCCTGATGGCCCCAGGATAATGAAGCATGAAGTGGTGCTTTGGCTTCAAATGCCTGTCTGGATAAAGCTCCAAAAACAGACTATGGTGTTCCTCAATCAAATGCTGCAAAAATGTAACTGCCTCTGCAGTTAAGGCTGGAGAGAAAATCAACTCCATACAGCTAAGTAATGAAAGTATTAGTTCCCAGTGTCTCTCGCCTTCTGGAATCAAATCCCCTATCATAAGAGGGAGCAACCTTAGAAGGCACCACATCTGTGCTGCTGTTTGTCTCATGGCCCCATCCGGATTTTTAAGATCCTGAGGCTTGATAACAGATGGCTTATTGCGACTATCAGAAAAACCATAATCAAAGCTTGTAAGTCTATTATTCAGTTGATCGAGTGTTAAGAGTTTTTGTTCAATCAGAGAATTAAGAACAAGCTTGATTTCGTAACCTCCAACTCCTTCCAAAATGTCATGCATGACATCAGGAGTTACATTGTCAGTTACATGGTAGAACTGCAGTTTATTGAGCGAACACGCTCTTTTAATGCCAGTTTCAGTTGGGTTATTCTGAAGTAAATCAGAGTGATAGTTTATCCTGTTGCGCATCACTGACAGGTCCTCAACTGTCTGTTCTCTCAAAACCTCTTTATGAACGCGACACCATCGACATACAGTTTTCCCTGAGAAACTTTCTGTGTAGCCTAGGATGGAATTAAGACCCAGGTTATCCCCACAAACCTGTGCAACGCTTGCTTTAATAGTACCCTTGAAATGTTTTGTGTCAACCTGAACTCCTTCCAATTCCAGATCCTTAATCTCAGACACAATTGGATCTAAGACAGCATTTATTCCATAAGTTTTTATGTCATCTGTCTTGTACACTGCCAACAAGAAGTGAGAGTTTAGGCTGGAGAGAAACTCAGGTCGCAAGCATTTAAGAGTAAAATAAACAAAGCCTAGCTTGTGAACTGAAGTTTTTGATCCAAGTGGGTTTACCATCTCACATTCATCGTTGTACAGTACAAGAGGAATGGATAACTCTTTGGAAAACAGTTCACTGGATTTGAAGATTGTGCCGTCTCTAAAATCTTGCAGTGCAGTGCTCTCTTGATTTTGGCATTCAAAGATCTTGTCTATTGTCCCTGGACTTTCTAAAACCAGCTTTAGCAAAGGCCTTAAAGGAATTAGCTGAAACGTATCTTGGACTGCCACTTGTTTTACAATCCCCGTCAATGTGTCTCTCTTTTGGGTGTATGAGACACCAGGGAAAGGCACTTCTTTTGGATGAACAAAGCATCCAGACTGTGTAAAGTACTGCTTTTGCTTGTACTCTGACTCAAAGCCCTGAAATGGTTGAGCTGCCACTGCAAAATTTTCTAAAAAACTCTGGCTCTCAGGACTGTCAAGGTGGCCTATGTCTCTTAAAAAAGAGGCTGTTTTTCTTTGTAGGGATCCAACAACATCACTGACAAGGCTAGATGTGTGCTCTACCACACAATTAACAGCACTCAATGTCTGGGAGGAATTTGACCTTAATTTTGCTAAAAACAATGCTACCCTGTCTCTTATATTTTCCTCCTGAAACTCATCACATTGTTCATCAGAAATGTCATCATGCTCCTCATCACTCTGTTCAACAGCCTCTAAAACTGAATCTGATGAATAGTTATCAGGCTCAACCAAAGGGGCTTCCTCCATTTCATTGCCAATTTCATTAGCATGCTGCAGTAGGTGTCTTCTAAATGATCTAATAATACTGAATGTGCGATTACATCCAGCTTGAGCACACTGAAAGTATGTGGATGTAGAATAGACATGATGTGCAACTCTCAAATGTGAAAAAAATGCTCTGACGTCAGATCCCAAAGACCTTTTGCATTTAAAGCAAATATACCCCATGTTGTGTACACCTAATACCTTTTACTTACATCAAGCACGTTCTTGAGGTACTTCTTGAATTTTAAACGAAGTCCAATAATAGGGATAAGAGAAGTCAGTGTGACATCATCTAAAAGAAGGAGGGTTTCTTGATCAATCTTCTCAGCTGTAAGACAAAATATGCAGAACATAAAAGTATTTTATGCAGATAACCATAAACAGTAATTGTTCATGTACAATCAGCTTTGTGTAAAACAAATATTGCTTCAAAAAATTAATTACTGTCCAAAAGTATTTTTGTCTCATACAACTAAAAAATACAAAAGTTGGAAGTGGCGTTCTCATTTAAAGAAAATAATTCCTAACTGGTACCCAGTGCTAAATCAATTCATGGTAAACTTACAAGCCATATAGTTTGCTGCATTCACTATCAATATAAAGCTGTTTTGATCTGTATCGTATAAAATTCCACTGAAATGAAAGTGACTTGACTTTGAGCCAAAGATTTAAAGACTGTAAACATTTGATTACTTCGATTAACGAGCTACGAATCACGCATGCATACGAAAGTTGGCACACACCTCAAACAAGCCAAAATCAACAAAAAAAAGTCTCTTGGAGCGGAATCTCAAACCCAACAGGAAGTTAGATCTATTTAACTTTCTGTGGCAAAAAAGTAAATAACAGAAAGCCACTGGTTGCATGAACAGCAAATTAAAAAAATTAAACAGCCAAGGACAAATTGCCATTTGTTTTTTAATCTCTCAGTAGTTTAAAGTGTTGAAGTGGCTACTGATTACTAGGGCTGCCCCTAACAATTGATTAACCTTTAGTCGATCAAAATGTTTTAGTTGCAGAAAAAAAAAATCCACATTGGTGAAGTCATGCAGATTGTTAACAGCTGATCTATGCAGTAGTAGCTACATCAGGCAGAATTTTCGAATGCTCTTATCGGCCTCAAATAAGCTACGGCTTAACATCTGCAATATAGTAGCAACTTTACATGGCTGCTCAATCTAATGCTACTGTAGAAATATGTGCACAATGGAAATGTCTGTGCAGAGTGTGAAAGCATATCAGCACCTTTGTGGTAACTTGCTCTTTAAATTCTTTGCCATGTTTGGTCATTTAGATAACAGTAATACAGCCTTTGAAGATATGTGAAGACACTACATTTCTGTGTGCACTCACAATAAAAACAACACTGCACTTTGTAAATACTGTAAGTAACAGGATGGGCTTTCTGCCCAATCCAAAACTATGTATATTTGCCTTGTAAAATAGGCAATGTGGACAATTAAAGACTAATTATGATTTAAATGGTTTATAAATAAATGTGTAATTATTCAAATAATTCTTCAAATGAACATCACAAGTCAAACAAACAAATCTTTAGACAGAGCAGCCCTAATGATTACAATGAACCAAGTAAAATATTATTACATACCTTCAAATTTGGGGATCAACTCTGCAAGATTCCATTCTATTAATTTGTTTTTTACGTATTCATCCATCTGAAATAACCAACAGATAAAAGCATTTTAGCAAAATATTAATAAAGTAAAAAAGATAACCTCAGCCACAAGTCACTTTATCACAAAAATACTCCTAAGTGATCATAATTATCCAGGGTGTCACAAAAGATGGAAGTCAAACTTTTCTTTTTGGGGATCGAAGATGATTAGGTTGGATTTAGTCTGAGCTCAGACATTCCCATCTGCATTAAACTAACCATACGTACAGGATTAATTAAAGATAAGTCAAATGATGTCTGTAGAATGTAATATGCTCTTAGTAAATGAATAACATTTGCTATTCAATGAACAGCTGTAGAAGCATAGAAGGAAATACTTTAAGTATGTTCTGACCAAAAAAGAAAAAGAAAAAAAAGAGAAGCTGAATGAAACACTTATGCATTATTACAAAAATGACCTAAAAAAATTAATTGAATAAATTTAAGGAGCACAACAGTAAAAATACAACTGTTTTACAGTTTACACCTCAGAAAGATCACTAATCACAGTACTTGCTGCCATTACCTACATAGAAAAAGATAATGTGTCATTCAAAATGCATTTTATTAAAAAGGAAAAGCTCCTAAATGATTCTAACTGTTCTTGGTGTGGTGTTTAAGAAACAGCTGTCGAACATGCTTAGTTTCAACTCTTTTTTAGCCTGAACTGAGCTCAGGGATTCCCGCCTGCATCAAACCATTTACAGGATTTAAGAAATAACATGTTAGTAGTAAATTAAGTTACCAAGTCAGTGCAGACCACAGACACCTGCATTGTGAAATGTTGAAAGGAGGGTTTTTTTCTTCCATTGATCATGCGGTATAAACTTCCATTAAAACAGCACTTAAAGCAGTTCATAGTTGCATCCAATATCTCATGTCACGAGTGATAAGGATGAAATGTTCCAGAATAAAGGTGAAAGTGACAAACTGCAGTTAAAGTTGAAAAACTAAAAACGAAACACCCAAAATTAACATGAAACTGTGGAGGAAATGTGGATAGCGCGATGACGCAATGACATTAATCGAATTATTTGATATAACATGTAAAACGGGATCATGAAAGAAACATTCAAAACGCAACTAATTTAAATGCCTTAAATCCACACGTAATGGCTGTAACAGCCGGATAACAAACCTCACGACAGCAGGTCAAAGGGGAAAGTGAGAGAAGCAGAAATTAAATTTAACGTTCAGCTTTTCTCCAGCAGTGAAAGAGGGGGTTCTGCTGTATCAGTCACAGAAAGACTGACTAACGTTAGCAAACGCACAGACACAGTCAATAGTATCCAGCTGCAGGCCCGCAGAACCACACGTTTTAGGCACACACAATCTAGGCAAACCATATATGGTTACGACGGATGTTAATGTGATTAACGTCTTTTTGAACATCGTCATCGATATATTTTGATATATATGATGAATAAATATTGTACACAATAAACAATAGCGTTTACTTTATTTCACAAATATTGCAATCGAGACGGCTGAAGGGGAGCATTGTTTCCGATCGCCATTCAATATAATAGACTGAACAGTTTTTAATCATTCATTATATCTGATGAGTCATTATTATCTGACAATAATATAGCAGATACTCGTTTGCTGGCCTTGCTGAACGATCTAATTTGGACAGGTTTAATTTATATAATGGATTAATTTATGATAAAGGAAATAATAGCAAGTTAATATAGGCAATAATACATTATATGTAATAAAAATCTTTACATGTACCAAATGTATAACACTATATTAATATTTTACTCAAGCGATTCAATAGTGTTTGTTTGCTTAACTTTCTAATAATCTTTTAATTAATGATTTCCCACATTTAATACTGTAGTAATTTATAGTAAGCAAAAAATTGTTTTTAAAACCAAAATGTAGTAATAGGAACAAATTAACTATTAATAATAAAAAATAAGTGTGTGTGTATATATATATATATATATATATATATATATATATATATATATATATATATAAAACAGCTGTGACAGTTTAGTAAAAGATAGTCTATATATTAACTTATAATTATAATCAGATAATCAGTTATGATAATCAGTTTATAACTATATATATATTGTTTAAATTATTAACTATAGTAGGCTAATTTATTTTAAAGTGACATATTATTGTTTGCTTTTTATATTTTACAATAAAGTGATTTTAATCAAGTATGATTATAGTAAGATATTGAATAAGTTTATTACACTTAATCCAACAAATAGACGGTCTATGTTTTCTTTGTATATGAACACATGAATAAAGTCATAAGTGTCTTTAACCAATTATTTTTATTTACATAATTCGAGTTCAGAAACTGCAGAGATCTTAAAATGATCGTGATGTAATAATAATAATAATGACTGAAATGGGAAACCATAATGAAATGGGAAACCATAAATTGTGTGTCCTCGATTGTGTGTGCCTAAAACGTGTGTGGTTCTGCGGGCTTGCAGCTGGATATATCTCGACACTGTAGGGGTTCACACACACACACACACACACACACACACACACACACACACACACAGAGCAAATTGTGCAGTCTCTGCGTTTTAAGTAAGGTTAGATGAAGTGTTTTAAATAACGTACTGGCGGTCACGTTGCATCCACTAAACAATTAACTTAATTTTGACAGCCCTTAAGTTCAGCGAAATGTAACGTTACCTTACAAGCAGAGCGGGAATGTACGTGGATATGCTGACAAAATTATTTAAGTGAACCTGTACAAACACAATAGCTTTAACATATACAAAAGTAATATTAAAATGTTCACCTTATCTTTTCCAAGCTCCTTCTGACGACGATGTTGGCGCGCCCTTTCTCGTCAAGACGACAAGGTCGTCTGTGAGGCGAAGCACGGCCGTCTCTTTTTAGTCGTTAGGTAAAAAAAAGCGTATATATGTATTATACAGGAAACTAAATGTGTTATCTCGTATGAACATTGGTAAATACACACCGAATAACTTACCTTTCAGACAGAATTTCGCTTGCTTCCCTTTAAAGACGGCAGAGAAAATGGCGGTTGCTCACGCTGATGTCCCTGCTTGCCTGGACGGTGACGTCACGTGCGCGCTCTTTCACGTATGCGTTTCCAACCCAGCACTGCTGGGTTACAGATCAAGACCGATTTTAACCCATAACTTAAGTGAACACTGTATCAAAACCATATCCAACACAATAGCTTTAACATATACAAAAGTAATATTAAAATGTTTACCTTATCTTTTCCAAGCTCCTTCAGACGACGATGTTGGCGCGCGCTTTCTCGTCAAGACGACAAGGGCGAAGCACGGCCGTCTCTTTTTAGTCGTTAGATAAAAAAAGCATATATATGTATTATACAGTAAACTTAACGTGTTATCTCGTATGACCATTGTTAAATACACACCGAATAACTTACTCTTCAGACAGAATTTTGCTTGCTTCCCTCTAAAGACGGCACAGAGAAAATGGCGGTTGGTCACGCTGATGTCCTGCCTGTCTGGACGTTGACGTCACGTGCGTGCTTTTTCACGTCGTTGTTCCCAACCCAGCACTGCTGGGTTATAGATCAAGACCGATTTTCAACCCAAATAGGGTTAAATCAACCCAAAATTGTTACCCAGCAGTCTCAACCCAGCAATTGGGTTAAAAAACCAACCCAGCGTTTTTTAGAGTGTGTGTTTCTCTCATTCTTCACTCTCTCTTTGTGATAATTCAGTCATTGAGAGCTGCATGTGAAGCACTAAAAGTGTTGTGTTGATTGGACCTCATGGAGCTCCATTATGCTAGTGGCAGCTTTCATTTCTGGAGTGACTAATTTTTGCTCTTTGATTAGGCAAAAAAGCCATGACAATTGTTTATGCAAATTGTGGCAACTCAAAGACTGTTGGCACTCTGTGGTGAATGTGTACAAACATTGTACAAAATTCAAAATATATAACCTAATATATTCACATTTTACTTTAATATGTTTTAAAACATACTTTATTCATGGGATGAAAATTCTGAATTTTAAGTTGCCCAGGTCGAAAGTGGTATATAATCTAGAAAAACAGAAATGCTGATAGGGTAAAACTGTTTCTTATAAAAAGTTTGCTTAAATTTTTTATTATCTATTTTATTATTTACAGGAATTTATCAAAAGATATTTGATAAATACAAACAATCAGCATTTATTTGACTTCTAAAACTTGTAACATTCTTAAATGTTGGATTTTCACTTTCATGAAATTTAACTCAACATGCTTAAAGTATTACTTTCTTTAAAATAAACTTGAACAATCAACCTAATGAATCCAACAATAGAATAAAAAAGTAGTTAAGCAGTAATCATTGCAGTATTATTAAATGTGACATTCTGACAACTGTAGTCATTTAAAGAGGTATAACTCTTTTGTAAAGTTATAAAGGTCTGTTTATCTCTTTTAATCAATTGAAGGCAGAATGAGAAAGCTTAATGTGCTGCAATTTAAGAAAAGACATGCAATTACAAAAACGCCAGCAAATTTAGAAAAGATTTTTATCTGTTTGACAGCATATGTTCTGCATTTTCCCACATTGCTAACAAATGAAAAAACACGCTGCATTTTATCACAACGCAAACACATTTCAAAAACGCTTACATTTTCTCACAACACTTGCAATAAGAATGGAACGCAATATAAATGTTTCAAGGGTGCCCTAAAACATGATGGACACTGCTGTGCCATGAATATTGCTCAGTGAATTTGTTGATCTTTGAAAGGTGAGTTTTTTTATTTGTGTATATTAACATCCTGTTTCTTTTTTATTTATTCACCTAAATAACCATAAATTATATAGCCGTGTCTGTCATGTTTTAAGGTCTCCTTGAAACATTTCCATTGTGCAGCATCGTAAGCTTTCTCGGCCACCGTAATTATTAACTTCTGACCCCGTAGAGTACAGAAGTTGAGCAGTAACTATTGGAGCAATTATTACATGTATTATTTTAAATAAAGCAATTATTTACTTCAACATAAAACCTTTGTAACATTATGAATGCTTCTGTACAGCTGGAGGCAAAAGTAAACTCAATGAAAAGTAGATTTTATTTTATAAAAAGTCAATAAACCCATTGCCTTTTATAATTATGCACGTAGTTTAATCACATAATAATTATTAGGTAATGAGTTTGCTCTCTTTTAAGTAGTCAACTAATCACTTTTTACAGAGTTTGAAATTAAACATTTTCAACCATTAAAATAATCATTATTATTGTTTCTTACCATAGCACAATACAAATTCTTACATAATTACAACCATATTTTCTTTCAAGAAAAAAACATATCACACTTGATCTATTTATTGCATCCTTGCTGATAAAAGTATCTTTTTCTGACACTAAACCATTGAAAAGTAGAGTCCAGTATTTTTAGTTATTCCATGCTTTCAGTAGATTCCTCCAAAACAAACACTTATACGGTAAGCATCAATTTGTGAATCCTTCCTAACATGGCATCTGTATAGTTTAGTTTCTGTATCTGTATAGTTTGCAAAGTCTTGACAGGCCTGGCCTTTTTGTAAAAGTTGAGTTTGTAAACTGGAAAGCCCACTTACCAGCACACAAAGCCATGCTGAAGAGATGGCTGAATCAGATAAACACATACTTTATTTGGAGAGACAATGTAGCCCTCTCCAGGGGTTTGAGACGAACGCAAGCATCCAGCAAAATAACACACTGTAAGCTCCTTACAATCCCCGCAGAAGCAATGGAGAGAGCGAGGGAGGGACCAATAAGAAACTGTTTTGACCCCTCTATTGCCATCTTGTCAAGAGAGTAAGCAAAAGGCCTGCTATACCCGTCTCTCAGCGCCACTTGCAATCCTCTGAATGTGCTGTGAATCAACTTAAAAATATCTTTTTGCTGTCATCCAGCAAACCAAAGGTAATAACGTATTCCTTCTGCACTGCTCATGTGTTTTGCATCGGCCTCACCTCTAAATCCTTCTTTAGAAATACATGGGATGTAAAAGCCTTCATGTGTGTTTAATTAAGTTATTGATTAAGTTGCTTCTTCATTAATTAAGCTGTTTATCAGAGTGTTTTAAACCAAGAACAGCAAAGGCCTTAAAAGTTGAAAAAATAATTCAATAATCAGCCCATATTTGCCTTTTAATCTTTATGAAATTAGTCATTTTTAAAGGGATGTCAAAGTTATTCAATACACATGATTTTCATTTATTCATTTTCCTTTTGGCTTAGTCCCTTCACTAATCTGAGGTCGCCACAGCGGAATGAACCGCCAACTTATCCAGCATATGTTCTACACAGCAGATGACCTTCCAGCTGCAACCCATCACTGGGAAACATCCATACACTCTCATTCACACACATACACTACGGCCAATTTAACATACCCAATTCACCTGTAGGACATGTCTTTGGATTGTGGGGAAACCGAAGCACTCGGAGGAAACCCACGCAATCACGAGGAGAACATGCAAAATAGATTAAACTCCACACATAAATGCCGAGGCACAAACCAGCAACCTTTTGTATTCTAAAAAACTGAATTAATTGTGATTATTTATCTAATAGCTTTGTTGTTGTTTTATTTTGTTGTTGATTTTTTTTCTGCTTCTGTAGAAACATTTGAAGTTGGAAACGTGCTTGAATTTGTTTTGTTTTATTTCATATATGTCTCCTAGGCATTGTTTGGTGTTACTTTAGTATTATTTACTGTATAATACAGTATTTATTATTTTATTTTGTGTTTTTCTTTTTTTTAAGGAAGAATTTTTAATTTCTGAATGTTTTTCTTTTAATATTTACTTGTTTTAGTCTACATCACTGACATTTTCTCTTATCTTTAAAATGTAAAACTTATACTTAAATTTATGTACAGTAAAACACACACACACACACACACTATATATATATATATATATATATATATATATATATATATATATATATATATATATATATATATATATATATATATATATATATATATATATATATATATATATATATATATATATATATATATATATATATATATACAGACATATAAACAGATATATATGTATATAAACAGACTTATTAAACAGATATATTTATTAAAATTATATTTTAGTCACCAAACATATTTAGAAATTAAACGATAATACAATTAAATTCAAGCAGAATATTGAAAAAAAATTACAACCTTCATTACAACCTTTTCTTTCCTTCTCGTGATTTTTCCTCTTTTTTTTAATTTGTATTTTTCTATAACATATACATTTGGGCGTACTAGTTTTTGGACCATTATCGTAAGTTATTGAGTTAAATAAGCTCCAGATTTGGCTTCAGTTGACTTATCTAATGTAAATGCACAAATATAATATTGTATAGCTTCCTATTAAAATATGAAATTAAAAGATGAAGAAGTTGTGAGGGGTGTACTTATATTTACTGAGCACTGTACCATTAGATGTTGACACACTTTTAGTTATTTACTGCAGAAAAAGCCCAGTAAAATACTGCATACATTCTTTACAGTTCACTACAGTAATGTGCACTATATTGGCCATTTTAAAACTTTTACAGTAACTTACTAAATATTAGGAATTTTCGGTATTCCACTGTAATCAAAGTAATCAAGTACTGCTACTGTGGCTGAGGACAAAACTGAGACCATTATTGAATAAATTATTCACCTGTTAGAAATTTGTTACATTTGTAATAAAGTAAAAAGTAAATTACAATAACTACTGTAAAAATATCATACTGTAGAATAAAATTGTGGTAAAGGGCATTTTAAAATGGTAAAATGAAACTGTGGTAGGGCCCTGCTACTGTAAAACATATTTACAGGTAAGTTACTGTAAAGGGGCAGTTGTGCTAACTTGCTGGCAACTGGCAAACTGTCAGTAAGTTACCACAAAAATACAATAAAATGTCTAACAGTGCACATACACAACCAGCCTATGTTGGGCATATGTTAATATACTCATCATGTAGCTGTCTGGGGACAACACAGTGGCTCAGCAGTTAGCTCAGGAAGGTCACTGGTTCGAGTCCTGGCTAGGTCAGTTGGCATTTCTGTGTGGAGTTTGCATGTTCTTCCTGTGTTGGCGTGGATTTCCTCCAGGTGCTCCGCTTATCCCCACAGTCCAATGACTTGCTATATAGGTCAATTGGATAAACTATATTGGCCATGGTGTGTGAATGAGAGTGTAAGGATGTTTCCTAGAACTGGGTTGCAGCTGGAAGGGAATCCACTGTGTATAACATATGCTGGATAAGTTGATGGTAAATTTCACTGTGGCAACC